TACATATTTTTAAAGCCTTATACTTCGCTTGCCTTGACTTTTTATTGATAAAATATACTTTCATGGATTAAAAATATATGAAATAAAATCAACAGATTAAACCGCTGACGATCGACATAATAAAGGTAAAATTAACATTAATGATTTAATGAAACCTACATAGACATAAATAATTCTTATCAACACACTGAATTTCTTTGATCAAAAGCAAACTCATAGTACTTCCATTGATCAGGGACTTAAAGGACTAGGTACTTACGCGATCATTATCTTGCCAAATCCATATAAGAGCCGACTTCACTTATGACCTCTGAAAACCTTGAACAGGTATCATAAATTATTCTATTCTGTTTGTGCGCTACATGTGAGTACCACTAAAATTAAAAGTATAAACTACACTTCTTCTAGAACATTGTTTCAGAATTATTAACGCCTTTATTTGTTATAAGTATTAGACAGATTTATCAAGTGCGATCTTAATTTAAATAGAAGTTTATGTTATTTCCATTTCATACAATAATAACATGAAAATCAATGAATAAATTTTGAAATAAATGCTTACCCATGATAAGTATCGATACTATATTTTAAAAAGCTAAAGTTGTCAACTTTGTTTGTTTATATGGGGGAATCTTCGGAAATACTAAGCCGATCATTAATTTGTTTTCTCATACGGGAATCTACATCATACGTGTGTAATATAAGTTATAATGTACGCGGGTGAAGGCGCGAGAAAACAGTTAATCATTATGTAAACCGTCAATTAACATTAGGTATGATGCTACTGCGATTTTGTGTTTCATAACGTAAGTCAGTCAGATAGTGATACGTTTGCATAAAAATGTCTTAAGTTCTTATATTAGTATCAAAAGATTCTAGAGATTTCTCCTTGCAATAAAACATAATAACAATTTATAATTCACGAGCTCACGCGACAGTTATCACTTTAATTATTTCCAAATTTCTACGGTCAACTTTTCTAATATTTCTTTTCCTTCAAACTTTGTTTGGAAAAAAAGATAATCAAATCAGTCTGTCCAAAAGTTATGTTGTTACCAACGAACAAGAAACGTGTAGGTATATAAAACTAGTAGAAAAGTTAAAATGTGTTTTTATAGATTAAACTTATTCTTAATAAAAATGCTTCAAAAATCCACTTTGTCCCGGCACTCTGAGATGGGACTCGAACCCTTTCGCAATTCGGGCGACTGCTCTAACCATTTAGCTACCCAGGACCTAACAGGACTGACGAATCTTTTAAGTACTTGTTACTATTTCGCTGCCACAGAGAGTATTTTCATCAGTGTTCAGGCAATCTACCCAACCAGCCGAAATAAATATAAAATAGTAGTATTAAATATTTGTTACTTTAATTTTTTTTTAATTTTTTTCAATAGGACACCACCCTTAGAAGTATTTATTACTCACGTATAATACAATTTAATAGGCGGCTAAAGATAATGAAAATAAATTAAAACTCGTACTGACAGATAGTATTCCGTGACTCGATTTTTAAAACAATCAATCGTTTGTGCAGGCTCTATAACTACTGAAAAAGTATTGAAGACACGGGCAGCTTGAACTTGAAAAGATTTGTCCAAGATTTTACTGGAGTGCATTGGTATCTCCAACCTTAAGTTCCCCGATGATCTTCTTTGTTTCTAAAGTTTCTAACTTTGTTTGTTTGTTTGCAGAAGGATATCTTTAGAAATACTGATTCGATCAAGAAAATTATTTTGCTTACGTGAATTTATATCAAACGCGGGTACTAAAGGTTATAATTTACGAGAGCGAAGTCGCATGGAAACAGTAAAAAATAAATATAAAACAACATCACATACATTGCTCAAATCTTAAGCATGTTGTCTTAAGTAGCTTAAGGTATTATAGAAACACGAAAGCACCACAACACCCTGACCCGAAACATGAAAAGACAAGCTCATTATGCATATTGATACAAACGGAAGTAGAACAGGGACCACACATTGTAACCGGCGTACGTGTCACTCTTTACTGATTAGTATTTTTAGTGCCCGCATCTCAAAAGCAAATAATGGAATTCATAAATGATCACTCGATTGTCTGTCTATCCTGTCTGTAGCTGATTTTCTCTACTATTTGAAACTACTGGATTGATTGAACTGTCACTAACTTACAAATTGGGTACGCAATATGTAATATAGTGACCCAAAAGCGGTCTGTCAATGTACACAAATTAATTTAATCAACTTCTTAATTTTAAATGGCCTCCGTTGGGAGGTAAACTAGGAAAAAAAAGTTTATCTAGTTTTATTTGTATAACACATCAAAGACAGGGCATATTGTAAGAATCACGAATAAATATTTAATATAAGCAAAAATTGTATCAATGTTGTGAAACCATGCCCGGATAATTATTCTTCCAGGGATTTAAAGCTACGAAGGTATTTACTAAACCACTAATGTATGAATGTGACATTTAATAGCTGTCCCGCGACTGTGCCCCCTGCGTATGGTGTTATTTCCCCTAGATATTACATATTTTTTTAATCGGTCTTGTAATTTCGGAACATCATCAATACAAAACAGTATTTAGTATAAACCTGTCAGCAATATCGACAACAAAAAAAACCTTTTTAGTTTCTATCAGCGTGTAGCGCCATCTGCCATCGAGTAGCGGAATTATATATCTAATTTTAGTGTAGTTTAAAAGCAAGCTGTTACGATATTATTGAATTTCACCATATAAACTTTTTGTGGTACATGATTTAATTAGTTTTTTTTACGTTTTATTGATTTTAATAGTGATACCAAGAGACATTGTTTACCCTAACATTTTAACACAAATTAAATGATATAAAATAACTTACTGGAATTGAAAAGAAAAGTGACTAGGTATGATTCTCGCCATGACTCTAGCCATAGGATAGGATATTTTATCTATGTTATGGCGATATTTCTTATAATATTACGCTTAATACTTATTGACCTGTCTTTTCGAGGAAAAACTTGAGATAAATCACAGACAGATCATCATCATCATCATCTTTTATCGTTCTTTCGTCGTTAATAAATTAAATATGATAGTTGTAAAGTGAAATTAATTTTCGGCACAATATCGCTAAAATGCCGTATCCTATAGCTAGAATCGTGGCTAGAGAGGTGGTAATAGGTAAGTAAAACTACAAAGTCATCATCGTCAATACATTTATTCATTTAAAATGTGAATCAAACATATGTAACATGGAGTTCTTACATTCATAAGACAAATGACAGACTGTACTACTGACATGATTCCACATAAAAAAATAATTGTTTTACGAGAATACAAGATAGAAAGATACAACACAAGATTCTTCCAAATGTAAACCGTCATATTCAGGCCATAGGTGCATAATTCTTTTCTTATTTATAATCAATCTTAGTTTTCTAGTTAAAACAAATCGAAGGGCTTTATATTAAACCAATTAATTTTAATAATACTTTGTGCTGTAATTTGGGCATTGATTGTTTAGGAAGTCTATATCATAAAATGGCAAACTTTAAAAGTTATTTATCAATATTTTCAAACATCTTTTTATCGGATTTGAGTTTGTTTAAAAAAAGTAGGTGTTTTTAACCATCGAAAATTTTTCGACGCTAAAAAATACATTACGCTTTTCACTATCGAACATGTCCTATCTCAATAGATATTTTTTGTATTAAAATTATAAAAAAATAATGACTCAAAAGTCATCCGGACGACGTAAACATTCCAAAACGTCTAAAGATAAATTTACTATAAAATTACAAACGTAAAAACCTAACATTCAATATTATATTATTAAATTATAGTTATTCGCGGAAATTCAAATTATAATTAAATTTTAAGGGATGAAGTTACGTGATTCCTCTATTACCAACAAAAAATATTAATACAAGTCACGTTATTTCAAAAATAAATTTTATAATATTATTAACTTAAAATAATATAATGTTTAAAAATAATAACAAAACTCTTGGCATTTGGCTACATTTAGCTATCAGTCTTTTAAATACTATTAAACTAAACAAAAGTAAATTATTATTTTTAAATTAAATGTCTTCTTCAACTTAATTAACTTAAATAAGATGTTAATTCTGTAAACTTATCTTTTCCACATCTCATGTCACAAACATGAAATTACAAATACAAAATAATACTGTGTCCGAATAGCACACGTCCGTCTTTATAAAACGAGGACTAAAGTTTATATATACGTGGTCAAAACCAGAGCCTACCAAAGCAAATTGACAATGACAGAAAATAAAACGTCAAATTGAGACGTTATGTTTGTCGGATTTTAGTTTAATACGGATTCGACTGCCTATATCTAACGATAGGGTACGACATCTAAGCGAATATTATGAAGATATTACATATCATTATACTACTTTGAAATATCAAATCTATATTCATCATTCTCAAAATCAAAGTAGGTAATACAATGAAACAAAATAATACCTACTATCGATAAGATATCGTAAACTATGGATAGATTTAGGTATAGAGTCAGACAGTCGCTCTGTTGGAGTGCGATCGCCTCCCTAGCTCTGACTCTAACCATAGGATTCGACTTCTTAGCGATATTATGGCGAAATTTCGTTTTATTTTACTACTAGCCATAGGGTTAGAGTTAGTCGGTCATATCCCTCGTCAGTTAGTCCCCGTCTTATAATTAGTCTGTATTAGTTTTAACAAAATATCTTAATATAAATATCTCTTAAATTTATAAATCGATACAATATGAGTTCATAAATAGTTAATACATTTTCAAATATACAATTGACAATAAACAAATTCTCACTCTAGAAATAATGTTTATGTTAGTAAAAATTGACTTATATAATTATAAGCGACCGGAGGATCGCTAAAATTCACGGTGTATTTGAAAATATAAATTACCGTTAAAATACAACAATGTCAAAATCACTAATTTCTGTGTTAATGAATATGGTTTTATTGATATTTTATAACCCCTCACTTTATTTTTCTTTTTTTTCATAATTTCGCATCATCCTAACTAAAATGATAAGTTTTTTCTGAAAGATTTCCTTCCACTCCTTCCCGAAAATTGAATTAAAATAAATTAACATTAAATATAATCACAGGAAGCGATTTCCCATAGTAACAAGTCAAGATTTATATAGATTTATTAAATATTTTGGTTCAAAATACATTTGGCATCATTCAGATAAATCAAACTATTGTCTACATTAAGTAAAATATTATTTTAGAATCTTAACACTTAATACGTGAAAAAATATTTATTAGCTTTAAAGTTGCGAGGATTTCTTAAAAACTTCTGATACATTATGGTTTGATTAATTAATAATTCTCACACCTATTCTTCAAATAACAAATAAATATTATATTTAGCACCTCCTTTACTCTCCACTCCAATCTCAAGTTATTATTCCAACATCTTAAATTCCATTTAACATGAATATAAAATATATAGATATGATAACCATTAGGCGTAGAAATAATTTAATTCATCAGTTTTGAAAATCGGTAATATAAAAGAATTAATGTTAACAATTAGAGACCGCAAAATTATTTTGACATTATTCTCTATTAAAATAATATGGTTATAGTAGAAGCTCTTTCTTGTCACTTACCCTGATAGCTCTCATGATAGCTTACCTACTACCTACACAGTTTGATGTCACGAGTCTAGTATATTTCTGCTCTCACGAGTCTAGACTCGTATACTATGTAAATATGTACTTCAATAGTTTAACCAAGAAAACGTTTAAGAGTCTTGGTAAATTATTGATAATTTACCAAGGCTCTTAAACGTTTTTATATTTACCAAGACTCATAAACGTTTTCTTGGTTAAACTATTGAAGTTCATATTTTTTCAGAATAATATTTCTTTGAACTTTACAGCATATTTTGGTGCGATAAAAAAGAAATCATGCACACTATTAGTATACCTACAAACACTTTAAGAAAATAATTACAATGTTGTAATTTGCACGTATACATATAAGTTATCAGAACAGCTAATTTTAGTTTACAAAAACGATAACAGCAATAATTTAATGTGTCGACTAGTGAATACATAAAGATTCCACAAGTTACTTACGCATGCAGCATATGAAATTGTAGTAGAACATTCGGTTTTGCTTCTGCTTCGGTTTCGGCTTCGCTTTCTTCGGCGAAGCGGTCGGCACGCGTTTGTAGCGCGATGGTTGCATTGGTATGACAAGCTCTAGGACAGAAGCGTCGTCGTCCTCATCGGACGCGGTCAATTCTACTTCGTAAAGCGGCGGAGAAGCACGGTCAGGATCGATGCTTAGATCGCCGAAGGTCCGATGCAAGTCGGGTAGACGATGACCCATCGGCCAGTTGACTTCCAAGGGATTAACGCGGCCGTCCTCCAGGGCTTTCTACAATAATAATAATCAGTAATAAGTATTAATAATTTAAAGGGAATTATTTTTTATTGGCCTGACACAATTTCTGAAGCTAAGCTCATAGTCCAGATAAGTTAATAAGTAGGTATGAGGTTTTATAGATTACTAGCTGTTTGTGCGAATTAACCCACGTAAAAATTGCGCAGATGATGCTGTTGCATCTTGGAGGTGAAAGAATTTTTAAAAACGTTCCAATAGTTAGCCTAATAAATAGAAACAAACAATAAAATTTTTTTTTTCAAAAATTCTTATTCATCATATGCACTGCTCAGATTCCAAATGAAGTAGCTAAAACACTTGTAGGTACTATTGAAATGCCAAACAATGAAGGTACCACAACCCGGACCCGTGACAATATTTAGAAGTTTATTTTCTACATTTACTAGTCCCCGAATTGAACTCGGGTCCTACATATAGAGAGAGACCTTAAAACCGTTGTGCGAGTACTCAATAATGATTTAAACTGTGAAATGATACATTTAATATTTAATTTAAAATGCAAGTATAAGTGAGTATTTTGTTAAGGTTTCTGTTTTTAGTTTTAATGATACTTTAGCTATCTCTTTTTTTTCCAAATTATTCCCAATACTAACCAGTATTCTTAACATGCAGCACTTTCTATATTATTAAAGTTACTACTTGACTAGACTTACAAGAAGATCATCGTCCTTTGACTTGTTGATCCTCTCCCACCAGGGTTTCACCATTGGATCCTCGTCGCTGCTGCTGACATCGTTCAACTGAAGGTAAACAAAACATTATTATTTTATGTCGATAAAATCACTAATAGGTATCCTGTGTACGTTAACTTAAAAATGACAAAGTCACATGATTCCAACAATATTTTCCACAAATTAGTTATTATTAGTTATTTTACCGTGGCTTCGTCCGCGTAAATTAGGTATAGACTATGTCACCCGTGTATGTTGTAGCTTTCCGTTGGTGAAAGAATAATTATGATCAGGTCATTATTTCCGAATATTACCCCCTACAAACAACACATTTAGAAACTTTACCTCTTTTATTAAAATATTAGCATGGACTGACGCCACAAATTTAATTTGTTTTTAATCCATCTATTAAAATATATATATATATACCTAATGCTTTTTAGAATGTCATAAATATCAACTGCAGGTATACAATCTATCAGTGCTATTAATAAACAAGGTTTAGGGTCAGATTAATTTACGATAACATTGCAATTTTAGTATTAGTCCAAATTCACATTTATATTAGACATAGAATAAGCAAACCGACTACCTTCTAGGAGTAAATATTACTCCCGTAGAACCTCGTACTAAGTTGGCCTTTGCTAAGTCTCTGTTTAATTATATGAATTTTGACTAAAACTAAGCGCAGTCTCAGCGTAAATATTACTTCAACGCTAAAACTTTTTTATTAACAACACTGTAAGAAATTAGTGCTAACAACTTTAGTTGAAATAAGGATCTTAAATTTCTGTAAAATCATAGATATCAAAAAAATAGCAATATTTCTGATTATTTTTAAAGTACACTTTGTTCCCTTCAAAAAACTGCAATTATTAAAATATATTAAAATTCTATGTATCTTTGAAAACTTTTCCTGCAAAAGTAATATAAAATTATATGTAGATATGTATGTATAAATTAACTAAGTCTATAAATTAATTTTAATTTTTCACATGATGTTATATTTTATATAATAAAAATTTTATTATATTGTACCCATGAGAATATATACAGCTGTAACGTAACAGTAATGACCTCCCTGTATGTGACACTCCCCTGTAAGTGTGAGGTCACTGCCAATGACCTTGAAATTACCTCGTGGATAAAATAAGGCCCTTATTGCCAAGTAAATCTGATATTTGTCTGTTTTACTAGTCAATTAAGAATAAATAAAAATAAAATTTACACAGTGGCACAAAAACGAGCCGTATACAGATATTTATCAATCGTGACAGTAACATCATTTATAACTTAAAAATGGCTAGACAAAAAAACAAAAAATCTTCAAGAAACTTCTTTGAAGTTGCGCTAGGAGGTTCTGTCTTCATGTTCGGCCCTTGTGTAGCATACATTAAAAACTCATAATTTTAGAAGTCAAACTGTCTGAAGATGTACTATTTCCGAGTTTACCGAAAACCGACTGATCCAAACATCATGCATCTCAACGTTCATAGAATTCATTTAAAAATATAATTTATAACACCAAAAAAAAAGAAACGATGTAAAATGTTGCCAAGACGACGCTATATGGTTCGAATCAAAAATGGTAAACAAATGCAAATGTAGAGCTAAACTTCTCACTCTACATGCCCCAATTATAAAAGTCATAACATTACAAACTCTACACCTTAGACAAAACTTGTGCCTTGGCCGTTTTCATACCGTCAGATAGGCATAAGGACATTACACTACTGTAGTATTCAATACTTCTCTGTTTAAATTAAATAAGTACAATAATAGTTCTCTTATTATAAACGGCCAAGCTATATATTGTCATTAAAATAACTCACATGGCCATGTCTCTCGCCGAACTGACGCGCGGATGAAGCGAGCAACTCCGTGCTGTCACTGTCAATGCCGCTGTCATCCAGCTCTGGAAACAGGGGCAGTAACACCCCATCGATATGTTCCACTGCCTCCTCCAGCTTGACTGATTTCTTATCCAACGGTGGACGAGAAACTTCCTATAAACAAAAAAAAATGTTATGAACAACAGTTTTTCATAATATATCTATTTTCAATATCATTCATTTAATTATAAAACTTATAACGGAATTCTAAACATTAGTTCTAATAGTTTATGTGACTAACATTACTCACAGTAGGTAGACAAATCTGTTTAGATGTTACTGTAAAAGCCCAAAGTATACACAAAAACTTACATAATGATTAGATTATTAATAATAAACTAATGATTAAGAAATAATAAAATATCATCATAATTAAAACTATGTAAGGCTTTGACTGATCGGCAATTAAAATAAACGATTAAGAAATAGTCATTATTTTATTAAAGTCATTATTTTATGCATAACCATCATTTACCAACCATCATCGATAAATCTTAGTATTCCCAAAGTCTGCTGGTAAAACCCCGAAATATTGTCTTTTTTATAAAATTACATTAACTAACTCAAACTGACTTAGTTATATGTAACTAACTCATGCTGGTAAATCTTAAGATTTACTGGGATATTTTAAGAGTTACCGTATTTCGGGCTTTTACAGTAACATAGGCACTTCTTCGAGCAAAAATTTCCGAATGAAATTTGATGAGATTTAGTATTGGAATAATGAGACTTTTTATATAGACTATTTTATATCTCACTAAACGATTCCCTAGAGATAAAAGACCCGTCAAACCATCATGTAATCCACGCGGGTGGAGCTACTAGCTGGAACCTAGTATCTGTGACATTCACCCTGAAACTATTGAACGTTTTTATTAATAAATGGTTAGGATAAAGAAAGAATTTGTACCCGGAAACTAATATTAAAAAATTGATTTCTATTTGTTTGTCTGAATGTTTATACGAAAAATTGTTATACTAATAACTAAGAGAGATAACAATGAACCTCAATCAATGATGTTCAGTCATCATTGAAACAAGTTATACAAAACTGCAAAATTTCTTTACTTAATTTTTAATTTTTATGACTTTAAAGTAGAGTATATAATCGATTGATGATCATATGGAAGTAACCCGAAATGCAGCCGAATGTACGATCTCAAAATTAATTAACACTACAATACTGAATTACATAACGGATTCGTTTTCATTCAATTGTTTCACACAATATTTGTTTTTAGTCAAATTGATTTATTTGTCTGAAGAAAGTCAGTTATATCGAGCTCGGATTATGTCCCGATGACAAAGGAATTGAAATGTTCCCACTCAACCTAATTTCGCATGAAACATATTTGGAATTTAATTGTAACATTAAATAGAGCTCCCCCTACTTGAAATGGAATTAAAAAGCAGTTTTATATTAATTACCCAAGATAATCCTGGTGGAAAACCGCTTACCGACTGTTCACACTAAGCACTTGGAAAAACACTTCAACGAAACTACGTAATATCGGATAGGTGACCGGGCACCCTCCCCTCGTTACCATGGCAACCGGTCCATGCGCGCGCACTGAAATTACCCACATAGTGATGTCAAATTTATTTACATAGTGAATTTGTCAAACTTTTTTATAGTTTGATATTTTAAAGTGTAAATTTAATTCGATATTACGTGTAGGTCATATTAAACTTGAGAAAATGGCCCCAAAAAAGGTAAGCGCTTGAAAATCTTTAGTGTATAATATAATAATTTAATATATAACTCTGGTATATAAAATTGGGTACAGAAATGACAAATAATGGATACCTACCCAGATCATTAATTTCTTAATATGTCTAATAATTATTTCATGTGTTTTACCCAAATTATTATTATATGTGATTATCCAAATTCTTATATAAGATCATATATACGAAGGATATATGAGTATAAGAGGTAGCTAATATAGGTATTATTGATTATACAATTGGCTACTAAAGAACTTTCATAAGTTACGAAAGATTTAACATTTCAGCGAAAATGTAATTTATTATAAATAATAATCTACATTTTTTATTGCATAGATAAAACAAACTGCTTATATAAACATATTTCATCAGTTCTCAGTTCTCACTGTCTTCCTCGCAAGGGATTTCACGTGAGGGTACATTTACAAACCATGAAGAACTAATATCATTACAAATTCAAAATAAGAAGAAAAGGTATTAAAAATAAAGCGGTTTAAATTTCGAAAGGATACGTAATTTGTACTGATAAGAATCAATACTATTTACATGATAATACTTCTTTACACTTCAATTCAGACTACCTCGTATAGAATACTTTAAACCTCTAACCTCGCCATTGAAATATACAAGAGATTTGTCTCAGATCTATTTTCTATGGCTGTATTTTAACATTCAGAATTAAGTTAGGTGTATAGATTCATTATATATACAATAAGGTTAAATATATATATATATTTTTAATTGACCGAATTTACATTACGAAACAAGTGTGAAACTAATTCCATGTTCACGTATTTTTGGAATTTTATAATGGCGTTAAATCTACAGTATCTCTAAGCTGTTTATGTCAGCATCGAAGCTTTAATTTTCGCAGTTGCTGACTGTCGCTATATTAATAATTTTGCTATATAAATCGTAATGAAATTAGTTGCGTGACATTAGTTTTATATATAACGAACTGTGCCCGCGACTTCGTCCGCGTAGAAAGTAGCCTAAGTTACTTCGTATAACATAAGCTATTTGCCATTGATAGTCCTGTCAAAATAGATCCAGCCGTTTCAAAGATTAACCGGAATAAACAAACGGACAAACAGACTGACAAAATATTAAAAATATGTGTAGTATATGTATCGTATATATGTCGCAGCCAACTGGTTAAAACAGTCGTTCATTTGGGCGGCTAGCTATTTAATTTGATGGCGCCATTTACTTCCACGCCTAGCTTTCTAGTTGAATCATAATGACATTTGGACCCTTAAAAAGCCGTCAAAAAGCTACCAAAACGTTCATTTAGTTTTGTTATCTGTTAAAAAATAATCTCGATATTTCTAACCTATCACGTGACCTACGGGACCAAAATAACTTCGTTGTTTATCATTTTTAACACCTTTGCTCCTAAAGCTGATGTAATTCCACCGGTTTTAAATATGTAACGCGGGTCATAAAAAATGCATGTGTTACCAAAGCAAATAGTTAAGTTATAGTCCATACAAATTCCATAACAGTATTATTTGCCATTTCGCGTGCTGTTGCTATTCAAATTTCGAACTAATCGCCGCGCGGTGCCAGTCAGTACGCAGCGCTAGCGCGCTGTTAAAATGGTGGGAAAGCAACAGTGTACATTCACAGATTGAGTTTATTTAATTTTTTTTTTTCTGTTTCCTCGCAAATGTGTTAAAAAACGTCGTACGATATTCGTGCGTATCGGTTATAAACTTATAACGCACTAATATCATAATGTACTATTATGTTGATATCGTAATGAACATACTAAAACAATCATTGCAGTCAAATACATTGCTTACACTGTATTCGATAGATAACATGTGGCCGTCTGAATCGAGGTATATCTTGTCTTTGTATAATTGTATAGTTATGGATGTATACGTTAGTTTCCTGTATTGAATCATACGGACTATTAACACCTAGTCGTGTATAAGCAGTTTCTCATCGAAAGTCAGCCTGTTAATTGAATAGCGCAATTCAATTAAATGGCTGATTATACCACTTAGCTGCGACATATACATAAATATGCATCTAGTAAAAACCTGTTAATTTAACATTACTAACAGACATTCCAATTTTTTTATTAGGATATTTATTAGGATAAGTATATGGCATGAAACTCCAGTGACATATAACTAATACATGCATTGTAAAACCGGACGTTAGCTTACAGCAAGACTGCAAGTCTAGTACAATTTAAAATTTACGGCTTGATAGATAACTAGTTAAATATATACGTTATTAAAGTTATACGAAACGATAATATTGTGTATCGTGCAATGTAACATCACTCTCTGTAAAAAAGTCATTAAGTTAAACATTAAAGTGTTCTTATACTAAGAACACTTTATACGTGCTAATTCGTTGTAAGTTTAAGCAAATCTTATAAAAATTGCTTCAAACGTAAAATAATACGAATGTGATCATGATGTAAAACTTAAGACTATGTTTTTAATAGATACAAAATAACAACAACTATTAGGCATATGTTATCATAATAAATATTTTAAAGTGAAGTATAGCACAAAAAATGAATTTTCGTAAATTATGCTTTATTTGAAGATTTTTTAAGACCAATCCAGAAATCCCGTTTCGACTGCAATTTGCAAGAAAAGTTAATAAACCCTTTTTAAACAGATTTTGCTGTAATGAAGCCATGTACATAGCAATTAACATAATCTATATCTCATTTCAGTTTGTTTTCATTGCGTTTCATTTCAATTTAAAATTGACTCACTACTATAAAAATACTCTTTATAAGACTACGTCACTTACAATTACCTGTCCATACCGTAAACTAGCACAACCTTTCCAGTCACTACAAAGGTTTAGATTTTTACACTTTCTTACAGAAAAACTACAGATAAACTTCGGTATGCACAAACAAAACACAACACATATAGTATTTTTAATACAAAATACCTAAACACTTCGCTTATTATTGACTATATTACTTCTCTTATGATACGTCTATTCAGTATGATTTAAACAAGTATGTTTGGAATTCTGTTACCTACAATTTATGCTCAAAATACATTCAAGGCTAAGAAAAACGTAAATCACCATTCGTGATATTCTAATAAATAATTGTTGGCCCAAATACTATACATTTTATGCGTACTGCATGAAGTAGTGAAAATAATGTCGTATCACTTTCTAACATAAAAAAGTAATCAAAAATTAATCATTTAATACCTGATTTAGATGCCTTCTCTGCAAGGGCTTATCAAGCCTGATAAAATGCCAGAACTCTGGCGAAAAAAGTCGGAGAAATCCTTAGGAACATTACTACTAAAACGACTCAGAGTGAGTACAGTAATTACTTTGGCATGGCTAAAGGAAAACCATTGTACATAACCACTTGTGTCTGTCTATCTTCGTCTAACATTCGTCCGCTATATGTGTCCGTTATGTATATTGAATGTTTGCCTGTTTATCCGTCGATCTGCTTTGAAATGGAACATGGTAAGTTCATAATAAGCTTTCGTTATATTGTTGAATGTAATCACTATAAATGTGTATGTCCGATTTTGTGCCGTTTTTTATTTGTGTATCAAAAATGTGTATCACTGCACGCTGTGTCCTTGTTTAATAATAACGCTATATTTTTTTACGATGGGCATATCTTTACTCGATTTTCAAGTATCAATATCGGTATCACGCTATGACGTAAATACTAATAACTTTCAGTAACCAACCCTGGGCTGCGTGAAGCCCTTTGACATTTCGAATTGGTCTAGATTTCAATAGGTATCGTAACTTCCAAATCTCAATTAATGATTTATTTTTAAACATGTGGCCGTTTGGCATGAAAAGTTATTAGATATTATTTTCAGCAGTCGTTAAAATATAAAAGAAAGATGAAGAGATTATTAAAAAATATTTGACAGGAATTTTTTATTTTTTGCGCCATCAACAAATAATGGCGATGCATTGAGTTGAAATGTCACATGTTAGTAGAATATTTACATAGTTGTGACGTAGTGAACACTCACTCTTAACTTTAATGCCTATTATTTAAGTAATTGCTAGTTAACTTGAAACAAAAATTAATTATCTAATATTTTTCTATTATTGGCAGTAGAACAAAATATATATTTTTTTTTATTTAGGTATCATAATAAAACAACTGACAATTGGTATTCTACTTACAATAATAACATTCGTTTCTTCAAATTAAATACTGAAAATTTACACCAACAGTATACAAATTATGTAGGTACAATATTCACTCTAATAATACAACAGGCAGAATGCTGTTTCTTCAGTTTTATATCACAGAATTACTGTCGCGTGGAATTTCTGGACACGAAAATAATAATAAAAAGATATTCTGTTATGGTTATCGGAAACGCAATGGTAACAAAACAGTACAACCTTAATTCAGGGTTTCAGTTTATTGACTCACGCAATGAGACTTAAAAAGGCACGTATGTAGGTTGTATGTATATGCAGTTCGATAGTTGAAAAGGTTGAATACGCAAGCTTACCTCAGTCGAAATTCTATAAAACTCGCGATAAAAAAAAGAAAAGGATTTTTTTCCTTTGAGTATATTTTCTGGCTCGTCATGAATTCTATTTCATGTCCACTCGCTGTTCGAGCAGTAAGTGCATTTGTAAAGCAAGTACAGAACGTAAGTTTTTTAAATGATACAACATTGATATAGCTTCAACACTTTTAAAACAATAGATGCCCATCTAACTTGGTATCGAGCATTTTATTTTGAATTACACGAATTTCGGAATGTTAGGTAGTCCATCAGTTTATATGTGCATACTTATAATTGATGTTAATAATTTTATTTTTGTGTAAGAGAAAATCAAAACCACGAGCGCCTGTCTTTCCACCATG